TGCTTTATAATATAGTATAGATAATGAAATAATTTATTTTTGGTTTAATAATCTAACATTTTATAAAGATAATAATTAAGTATTCTGTTAGAACTCAATGATTATCTTAATTATATTTTAGATTTTTTATTTTTAACATGAGATGTTTATTCTATATTTGATTATGTTTATCTGCAGTTAGTTACACGAATTCAGATATGGAGCTTTAATAAGTTGTACTTACGCAAAATCTATTTGCAATCTTGAGTTTTAAGTAATGTGCATCAATAAACAATACTTTACGCATAAAAAATGGTTTTTAGAAGTTTTTGTCAAATGCTTAATAATATAGTATAAATACATATATATTATTTTATATTATATAAAAATAAAAAATATGAAATTACCTGTATCCACTCCCACCCTTAAGAAACAAAAGCACCAATGACAACTTCCCTTGAAAACCCACCGACGACAACTTCTCCTGAAAACCACTATTTCGTCAAAACTCGTTTCATCACTGTTTCCACCCCCTTGGATCACCAAGAATGAACAAATCGTCTGTGTTTTGTCTCCACTTCCCTCCACCATGCAACCAAAAACCATGTACGAGATGCATATCTAGCAAGGTTTCATTCCTGTTTAACAAGGTTTCGTCCATGTACGAAATACAGATCTTGCTGATTTAGCAAGGTTTCATCCCCTTTTTCCCTCGATTTTGTTAACGATTACTTAACATTGGTTTAGGTTTTGACTTTTAGTTTTGGTGAACAAGGTTAGGGCTGGGGTTGATTTTGATATTAGGGTTTGGATTTGTTTTTGAGTTTTATTTTGGTATGTGTGTGGCGGTCGGAGAAGATGTACGAATTATGATCCCTCTCTTACAAGAGGATTCGTGACATGTCAAGTTTTGTAAGATATATTTTGAAATAAAAAAATCGAGAGACCAAATCCAAAAAAAAAAAAAATCTAAAGCATTAGGAACCAAATCTAACACAAATTCAAAATAAATATTAAAAATTGAAAAAAAAAGTTTTATTTGGAAATATAATTTTTTGCTCAATTTATTCAAACACCTCGTTATAAAAACATCACTTATTTCTTCTCAAATTGGTAGTTTATATTAATTAACTAAGAACAATAATTATAAAAATACAATACAATTTAATTTATTTAAAGGGTTTTTGTGATTGCTTATAAAAATAACTTATTGACTTATTTTGGTTTGGTACCGGTAATAAATATTTTTGAGTGTTTAGATAAACAATTTATACCGATGACAAACTGGTAATAAAAAGTTTTTGAAGAAGTTAAACCTTGCTAACTTATAATAAGTTGAAAAAGACTTTTATAGAAAAACATTAGTTATTTGAAATTAGATCGATAATAATTTTTTTTAAAAAAATTAAATCATTTTAACTTATGATAAGTTGAAAAACACTTTTATAAAAAAACAAAAACTGAAGTGGTTTGAAATTAGATCTCAAACACCCCCGAATATGCAACTAATTTGTTTTACTTTTAACCGAAACCCAAGTCACTGTCACTTTCCATTGCGGTGGGGGATCGCATTTGGCTTTAATTTCTACATGATTCCTCTCTGCATCCACCCAACAAATTTCAAAAATATTTCAAATCTCAATCCGACCACTATAGAACCCTAAAAATATCATCACCATTTTCCATCAAATACTTGGGGTTTTTGTTCTTATTTCAACTTGTTTACCACCTCTTCTCGATTCTGTGTTCATCCATTACTCGATCTGTGATTTGCTTTGCTTCGATCTGTGATTTCCTTTTTAGTCTTTTCGACTTGGAAGATCAATAATGGAGGCGATTGAAGAATTGGCCCAGCTTGCGAATTCCATGCGGCAGGCTGCGGCTTTGCTTAACGATGAAGATGTTGACGAAAACTTGCCAGACTCTTCAAGACGCCCTGCCACATTTCTTAATGTTGTTGCTCTTGGCAATACCGTAAGTTCTTTTAACTTGATGGGATTTTGATTGATAAGACTACTTGTTTGCTTGATTTGGTAACTGGATCTCTCCATATGATTATGTTCCGATCTCAATGATTTATCTTAGCTTAATGTAGTTGAGAACTGTTTGTGGTCCATACCTCACTGTTCATTTTTTTGCATACCTGTTATTCGAAGTTGTTATGTTGCAGCAGAAACACATATACTTGGCTGCCACATATGTCATTACAGTATAGATTTCAATTATACTTTCAACTATTCAAAGATCTACTTGTCAACTGCTAGGGATCTTCTCTTTAGCTAAGCATATGACACTTAGAAAATGCTGTCAATCTGTTCTTCTTCCTAGCTTCTCCTTTCCTTTCTTAGGTTTCCCAAATCATGGCCCGTAATAATTGCTAGTGTTAAACAATTCAGCAGGTGTTCCTGATTATTCCATTAACAAGGCTATGATGGACTAGATCTTTTCTTTTTTATATATAACAAGAACGTCAGTCTTCATAAAGCTGAGGCATCAGGGGATCATGTATGACCCTCACTGCATATGGGATGTACAAACATTATGAAGACTTGTGGCACATGACTAACACAGTGATTGTTGTGTGCTGGATGGTCTGAATTAAAGGCTTGAGCACTCAACCTCGTACGCGTAAATACTAAATACTTTAGAAGAACACATGGAATGAAAGAACTCTGATAATACAGTCAAAGTCAAACTATAGGCAAAGTTGTTCTGTAGCTGCATTGTCTTGCAGTTCCTTTAGCTTGATGATGGGATTGATTTAGTTTGAAATGGACATCATACTTTGCTTGTGTAGTTTGTTTTTCCTATAAAGAAGTTGCTACTGGCGAAATGTTACTTTGCCTCTGTAGTTTATTTTTCCTTTCCAAAAGTTGCTGCTGGCGAAATGTTATTGGATAGGGAGGTAATCTTTGTATGATTTTATGGGGCAGATAGAGGATGGAAAGTTATTAGTGTCTGGATTTATTTCCCTTTGGAGTTAGTTGCTGTAAGTTCTTTGATGATGCAGCAGAATAGCCAAGCTTTGGCAATCCTCTTTGATAAGCCTAGTCAACGGTCATAATTTCTCTTCAGGAAAATACAAGATCTGGTAGCCATTATATCATGACCATGCTACTGTTGCATCTAGTTATGTTGTTACTGGGGCACCAAATGTCGGTCTTGTCACTGCATTTTATTAATTCTCTCATGTCATGACAAGCATTATTGTGCTTTGATATTATATCCCATTTATTGTTCATGGCCTTTTAATTGTCATCAAAGGGTTAATTTTTTTCTTCGTATTTTTATCTCATTTGGATGCAATGATACTTCTTTTTTGTGTTTCTTAAAACATTACCCTTTGCCTGAACACCGAGTTCTCATGGTTTGTGGACTATACTCTTAATTGCAAACATGAAAACTGATGGCAAGAAAAATCAGATTTTCCATTGGCAATCAACTTCAAGCCTCATTTAGTGCCCTAAAGACGAGTCAAGTTCTACGTCCTGTAGTTTTTGCACTTCATTCTAATATCTTTTGCACTTAATTGTATTTTATGGTTCAATGAATTTTACTACTTCCTTTGTATTCTTCCTATCTTGGCTCTTTATCCATGTACTCCTTCCAGTCATGGCGTGGTAGCTAGCTCTAATTATGGGCTACCAATTTTTCAGAGTGCAGGTAAATCAGCAGTTTTGAACAGTTTGATTGGACATCCTGCTTTGGTAAGAGCTTCATTATTCTTCATCTCCATTCTTCAGTCTGGACCTCAGTATCCTGTTTATATATTTACAAGTTCAACATGATAACAAAAAAAGTCATTAAATTAACAACCAAGAAATACAGGTCATCTGTACTCATCATTTAGCAAGTGAACACTACAGACGTAGTTAGAGTATTCTTATTTTTCCATGATGTGGGGATGTGGAAATGTGAGCTTAAATTTGCTAATTCTCACGTCTATATCTGGTCTTAATTTGAGCAGCCAACTGGAGAAGGTGGTGCAACTCGTGCGCCTATATGCATTGACTTAAAGAGGGATGGTAACTTAAGCAGCAAATCAATTGTATTGCAGATTGATAGTAAATCTCAGCCAGTGTCTGCAAGTGAGTCCTCATGTCATGCTTAAGGCCATTTAACATGTATATACATGTACACACTGACACATATAGCAAAGGGATTATACACATGTACTCCAAACGTTATTTTCATTCTAATGACATTGAAATGGAATGCTGATTTTTGTCCAACCACAGGCGCTCTTCGGCACTCATTACAGGACAGGCTTAGTAAAATTTCAAGCAAGAGTCAGGATGAAATATTTTTGAAGCTTAAAACAAGTACAGGTGAGTCTGGATACATTCATTTTCTAGAGTAACAAAGCATTTGAAGAGTTGCCTATTCTTCAACACATGCCATTTATTTTGTCTGCATCTCTTTGATGATCAGTTTTATGATCAATTTCTAGAAGATAGATGTATCAATGTTGTTAAGTGTAGGACTATCATTGATTTATTTAATTACATGCCATTGTTGCATTACTCTGTATGGCCTTTTAGTGTCTTGACATGGATGGGGCTTCTCCACTGATAGGATAAAGGTTGGTATGTTGAACATGTAGAGCTTGTATGTGGAAGGATCCATCATCGTACTGAGTTGCCGAAGGATGAGAACATCAATTACGACTTTGCTCTCTGTTTCTTGTAGTAAAATAGCTTGCTGAAAATGTTTGCAACATTGGATGAATGCTTTGTATGATTCTGTAATTAGCTATGGGCTTTGGAAGTTAATATGGACAAGTTTGTAAAAAAGTGTGAAACTAGCAGAAATTAGATAATTGGCAGAGAAGAACCACAGATGGCTTGTAATGCCACTTCAGTCGTCAATTATGTTTAAAAACTTATCTGTCTCTGGCGGGGTGATATTTTTAGCGTTCTCTCTCTCTCTCTCTCATTCACTTTCTCTCTGTCTCATTATCTCCCACCCCTTTCTTCTTTTAATGGTGAGCCCTTAAATCATACTTCTCTGTGCCAATTGAATTCTGATGCCTTTCTTGTTCATCTCTTATGAATCTAGTCTAAATTTAACATCAGAAATAACAAATAGATAAAGAATTTAACAAATGGGATAACAATACATTATTTTTCTTATAGCATTGAACATGATGGAATAGTAGCTTTAGCTTTTAAATGGTACTTCTTGAGCTCATCTAAGATATACTATTCTATGTACATGTGCTAGATGAGGGATAAAAAATTACTCATTGTACTGGATCAATGTTCACAACTTTAGGCTGTGTGACATATAGCTACTTCTGGTAGGTTAGCAATATTTCTAACCCACCAGGAAAGCTGATTTTATTGGATGATACAGGCACTCAATAATGTAAATCATACAAACCTTAATGAGATTGTGAGAAGATAAAAATGCTTATACTTGAGAAAAGTTTCTTTTGCATGTTTCAAATTCTGAAGTAAAGGGAAAGACGATGTTGGCACTGTGAGGCCCTTGAAATACTCTAGCTCCGCCAACTTTATCGAGAATTATTGGACGCTTCTGTCAAAAATAGTGCTGTCACAAACATGACTTCTGGCATCATTGGAAGGTTGAGAAATGCAAACCCATTTTTACACATGAAGGATTATTCCAAATTGATGTCTTCCCATTATGCAATGTCCCCATTTCCCTGTTACTAGAATCTCATTGTGATGTCTATCTGTTCGTTCATTGAGTATGTAATTGTTGAATCCATTAGATTGCTCCTGGAAAGCTGTTATTTTTTCCCTTCAATTTGTAGTATTTGTAGCTAGATTGTTTTTCAATCCAATCTAAAGTTTCTTACATAATGCCTTCCATCCTATTTGCTTCATTTGCTGCTTCTTATTAGTTGTAGGCTTTATTTATCTCTGCCCTTGGTTTCCCTCTTAACCTCATCATATGGTTTACAGCTCCTTCCTTGAAATTGGTTGATTTGCCTGGAGTTGATAAGGGAAATCTTGATGATTCGTTGGTGAGTGGCTGCCAAACTGGTTGTTTTTGATACACAATTTGCTTAGTACCTTATAAAATGGGTCATTTTGGAAAATAACCTTGAATGAGTTTTTAATTAAATCCACCTCATAATCACGAAACCATTTTCTTTATTAGGTTAGAAGGTCGTGGATTTAAAAAACAAATCATGGAAGGTCATATACCTAAATATCCCTTATAAAATTCAGATTTATCTTGTTTTTCTTTTGTGGAGAGAGACCTGGTAACCTGTTATTCTTGCAGAGTGAGTATGCTCAGCACAATGATGCAATTCTGCTGGTTGTAATACCTGCTGCCCAGGCACCAGAAATTGCCTCTGCCAAAGCTCTCAGAATTGCAAAGGAATATGATGGAGAATGTGGGTTTACTATCCAATCTGTATCTTGGCATGCTATCATACTTTCTTATATGATGGTTCAACATTACTTTCAGTTTTATTCTCAGCTTCTTATAATATTCAAGTTGTAATCTGCTTGTTGTAGCAACAAGAACCATTGGTGTCATCAGTAAAATAGATCAAGCATCTTCAGATCCCAAAATCCTTGCTGCTGTTCAGGCACTTCTCTTGGGTCAAGGACCACGAAGTACAGCTGATATCCCGTGGGTTGCTCTAATTGGTCAATCGGTTTCCATCACTTCAGCACAGTCGGGAAATGTGGGATCCAATAACTCGTTAGAAACTGCATGGCGAGCCGAAACTGAAAGTTTAAAATCTATATTAACGGGAGCCCCTCAGAGTAAGCTTGGTAGATTGGCCTTGGTGGAGACCCTTGCTCATCAAATTCGTAGCCGAATGAAAATCAGACTTCCAAGTCTTCTATCAGGGTATGGTTAATTATTCAGCTATCCCGTTCTTTCTTCTACAAAGCATAGCATACTGCAATCATATCCATTTATCTGTTGACATTCAGTATTTAGCTAATTTATTTGACACCTTCATGTGTGTTAGTTATGCACAATATGCATTTGTCTTATGAACTCTGAATGGTAGGAGTTGAACGTGATCATGCTTTATGTCCATGAGGTGCAGCGATTTCACATTGCTTCTCTTAAAACGTGAAATTCGGTTTATGGTACCCCAAAGGCTGTCGTCAACTTTTCTCCAGCTTGTATAAGAGATTTCTATTAACGGATTTTACCTAAGAGAGAACATTTAAGGAGGTTAGACAATGATTATGCTGTATTGTGAAAAAAGGGCAGCCAAAAAGAGGACATAAATAAAGTGGATGAAGTCTTCGGTGCCTAATGGGGAGAATGGCTTAAAGAAAGAGCTTGGCTGTGCCTGCATCATGTGTCATGTGCGATTGACACAGCTATTAATGGGCTTTTTCAAGTGTAACTTTTTCTATTTTTTCTCTTTATGATCTAGGGATTACTTTAGTAGGAATTAAGAAATTGGATGAGTTCCTGAGCCTTGTGCTTTGCACTTTGAACCAGAGGATCAATGCTGCAAACATGTACTGTTTTCAGGCTATAAATCTTTGGCAATGGAAAACATGTTGCCATTTTTTTATTTTCGCAGCTTCCTCAATTTCTAAAACATATTCTCTTTTTTGATCTCTAAGTTATGTTGGTTTGAAAAGAACAAAGTTGAGGAGGAACAAGAGAGTGGATCCTGAGGAGTAAATGAGAATGCTAGCACTAGATTACTATCAGGCATATAGTAGCCTTGTAAATGCAAGAACTGATTTATGTACTCTTAGTAATCACACAAGAAGTGTATTAATAGACAATTTGCGTGACTATGTAATATGATATGAAGTAATTAAAGAATTAAGCAATATTAGGTTATACTTTTCATAATACTATGACGTATATAAAGAGTTGCTATCAGATGTCAATCACCAACGTGAGATATATATGTGTTAAAAATTGTTTATTTACTATTTTTTTCACCACCAGGGTTGTGGCGTAGTGCAATGAGGCCTGCCGGGGGGTGGTGGTGTAGTGGAATATTCCATCTGCCCTGGGTTTGATTCCGGGCGTCCACAACAATTGTGGCCACTGAATTTATCAGGGCTGATGTCTCACGGTCGCAATCGTCAAGATTAGTCTAGGCATAACCTAGGATACCCTTCTAGAAAATGGTTTATTTTACTATGAAATAAAGAACACAAATAATTGTTTTATATATTTGTAAAAAATGCCCTGTACTTGTATTTGAGGACTTAAAAGCTCCTTTTAACTAGATCTTAAGTAGAATTACTATTTTTTCTTACAGAAATAGTTGGCCCTATGAGTTAGAAATAGCTGAGTATAAAAAGTTTGAAAATAAATCTGCTACTTCAGTTTTCTGTCTTTTACATTCCAGGACTCATCTTGTTCTTAACACCAGTTTTCGGTCAACATTCTTTGGTTTTTTTGTTCTTTTGAGGTTGTCTTCTTTATGCATAGTGTAACAGATCTTTTTTTTTTTGACTGATTAAGTACCATATCTTGAGAAGAGATTAAGTTAAAATTACTTGACAGAATTATATGTGTGTATCAGCAGAATTTGTGCATAGTTGCAGGAGTTCCGGAGTGTTGAGTCACTAGCACTTGGTTTTATGGCTATGCATTAAAAAATGAGTTGCCGTGACATAGGAGCAGCCCTTTGTTAGTTCTAGCTACAGTGATAGGATATGCCAATGCAAACATAATCATTTAGCACTAATTAGCCTGACTGGTCAGAAACAATGAATTTGTTTTATATTTGCTTATCCAGTGATAAATACTTGCGAGTGTGTAGATGAAGTAATGGTGTTCCTCTGAGGTAGAACCTATAGATTAAATGTTAGACATATTTCTTGAAAAGATGAATTGATGAAATGGGTTTTGTTATGGTATGTGCTTTTCACTATAGCATAATGGGGTGGTGGTCTATACTTGAATTTCTATTTCCATCAGCAAGTATTGAGCTAGCCAGTAATGTTTTTGTGACTAATTTTTTCAAGATGGAAACCAATTCTTGTCAATATTTCCTTTTGACATATAGAGCAGATATTACTTCACATGTGAGTTTTATGATGATACAAGAACTAGCACAATCAAAGAAACATCTATGTTACATACACATGTACCACTTGTCTTTATCATTGTCTTGCTGATGCCTTTCATGTGCAATTAATCGTATAGCATAGCTGCAATAGAGAAAGCAGCTGCTTTTTATCTTTATGTGTTGCATCTCATGCATTTCTATTAGGCCTTCAATCAATTATTACTAATATTTTTTAAAAACACATGCAGACTTCAGGGTAAATCGCAAATTGTGCAAGATGAGTTGGTAAGGCTTGGAGAATCGATGGTCACTAGTTCTGAAGGCACACGGGCTTTGGCCTTGGAGCTGTGCCGTGAATTCGAGGACAAATTTCTTCAACATATTATGACCGGAGAGGTGTGAACAGAGAATGAATTTAGATTTTCTAAAAATACAATGCTTTTCTTACCTTTAGAAAGGAGTTCTGCAAAGCAGGCATCGGCTGCAACTTTGATTTATAAATTATCTGCTCCATATCAACCTCACACAAGATTATAACAAGGAAATTATTAGAACCAAGCGTATTGCAACTTGAAACTCTCGTTTTTCTAGGTTTTAAGGTCACTGAATAAGATGGTCAACAAGAAACATAAGAGTTCTGATCCATTTGCTAGGATACAAATGTATAGACAACTCATTCAGGATGCACTAATTGGGTATTGAAAATAAAATTTTGCAATCTCCTGCTTTTTATCATACCTGGCATTGAAATATAGTCTTATTTCTGTGCACTTGTTTTCAAGGTGCTGCTTAAACTTGTCGACAAATTCACAATTGCTAGGCACACTGGAATGTGCATGAGACATTAATCTTGAGGGATTAATATATACTGGGCAGTTGTTCCCAGTTGTGTTAAGATTCTGACCATTCACTCTTAATTATTTTTATCAGCCTTGGTGCATTGTGCATATATGATTTCTTAATGCACCTTAAAACACCATATTGGATGGCTAATTTCTATCTCCAAACGTCCTTCTGCCTCCTACATTTGTCTTGTAGCATAACAAATGTTGTTGGTCGCAATCATGAAATATTGATTTGTATGAGGTTTTTTTTCCTTTCTGTTTTTCTATCTTCTTGAATGCTCAAAGCTTGCAAATAAGAATAAAAAAGGCTGCATGTTATGGAGAGCTCTAGTCTTTTACAGGGTTGTAGAAAGGTTGATTTAAGTTGATGAAATGATGTACAAAGTGGTCTGCCAACCAAATTTCATGTGGTCCATTCTCGCATGAATTCTCTCTGTAATACATACTAAAAAGTCTAATATCCATGATTTGTCTGGGCACATGATTGAATGATGCTTGTTTTATGTTTGTCGTTATCAACTTTCTATTTCGATCGTTATTGCTATCTGACTCCTTGTCTGGTTCTGGGATTGCGGACATAATAGTCCACGGAGGATATAAAACTTAACCTGAATTCTATTGGTGAATTATTATATTTATATGGGGGTCCACATAATTATTTGGGCTTGAATAACGTGGTGTTGTTAGCAGGGGAATGCTACTATAGCTCCCAACTCTTACTCTTTTATAGTGGGTTATCTCTCGTCGAAAATCTCACTATTTAATTGGTATTAGGCTCTGACGGTCAGGATGAATGGAATGAGCTAGGAATGCAATGTTCCATATATTGCCTTGAACCAAGCATCTGAATGGTTCATTCATATTCCTTTGACATGTCTTGTTTGTTTCCATTATCTCTAGAATGGAATGGGATGGAAGACTCTACTGAACTTAGATTGCCACCTTCACAAGTTCATTAACAAATATATAAATTATTACCATATATGAGGATCTCTTTTGACTGCTTGATTGGATGACACCAGACAAACACAAGAATATTCAACTTCAACTTTCTCAAAATGCAAAATGAACTAGAAGTTTGCCAAGATGGAACCAACCACCAGTGATTATGTACATTGGATTACTAAGCACATGAAGATCCAATTGACAATCATGTTGCAGAATTTGTCTTCTGAAATGGGGTTCATAAACATTCGGTGTAACCTAACTTATAGCCTAGTGAAGTAGATGGGACAGGAATTAGATAATAAAAAGTTGTTTCAAATTTTTTTTGATATATGTCAAATTATCATTTCACTATTTGCTTCAATACTATAGACACCTGTGCCATGTGAAATAAACAATAAGGACTTCTATGAAATTGGGTTCTTGATTGAATGACTCGGTCTATCCAAGTATGAAACAAAATTACTCTCTCATGCATCCTGAATCACCTATTCCAGCCTACTTAAAGCTGGTAAAGTTCCATTATTGTAGGCTTTGATTCATTGGAGTGGTATGCCATTTATTTGAGGGAGGGTAAACGTTGCCTAGAGCATTTGGTGTTTAAATTATTATGTCCAAATGGAAACATAGATTTTGATGCAATTATCGGCGTTCATACATCTCTTTCAGGGTAGTGGCTGGAAAGTTGTTGCAAGTTTTGAGGGTAACTTTCCTGATATGATCAAACAGCTTCCTCTTGACAGACATTTCGACATAAAAAACGTCAAGAGGGTATGGTTTCTTCTGATTTTAGTTCACTCATTATTTTTGTTGCACTATGATGATTGTGGAATTGGTATCCAGATTGTGCTAGAAGCAGATGGTTATCAACCTTACCTCATTTCTCCAGAGAAAGGATTGCGGTCATTAATAAAAGGTGTATTAGAGCTGGCAAAGGAACCATCGCGTCTTTGTGTTGATGAGGTAAAACTACACATTCTCTACCAGCCTTTTGACTTCTAACGTCAGTTACCTCTTTAAGTTTCCATAGTTTTGCATTTCGGTATTTTCTACCTCCCTCTCATCAATATGATTCCATTTATTTGCTTCCTATTTTGCCTACCTCTCGTTTATGTTGTGTGGAATTTTTTTCATCTCTCATGCCTGTGTATTTTGCTCCATGCTGGTGACATTTAGGGATCTAGGGTTCCTACTGTGCATGCATTACTCTGCATTAATTCTGTGGTATAAAATAAATTTGCATGAGGCCATACTGATAAAATCAAGTCGTTCATATCTCAATCTAAGCATATGCTTCTATCTTATTGCATTCATTTTGTAAAGAGAGGAGGACGTTAGTTAGAATTTCATTGCCAGCCAAGTTTGGCCATTTTGGAAAGTGGAAACGCTTGGATCAGTGAAAGATTCAACATACTTCTATATCATACGGTCTTTATGTTTGGTTTGAGTTGTTTCGACAACTGCATACTGATTTGTGTATACATTCATTACAGGCATGCGTTCTCAAAAGAGCGCAGAAAAATAAAACCCCTGGAAAATATTCTGATAAATTTAAACACAGACATGTGGGCAGAAAGGAATAACAAAAGACATAAAACAAGAATAACATCATGGTGGTTGCTACCAAGTCTACCTCATAATTTGTTTGGAAGTGCTTTCAGAATTTATTTTCAGTTGTCCGTAAGCATCAATCTTTTCTCATACATTGTCTAGGAAGTCTACGATAAATGTTTGAGAGTCAGCTGGGCATTTGATATTGTTTCTATTGGAGTTGCTTTGTTCGAATGTAGTTCTTTTCCCACTTAACTTTGAAGTTTTCCCTAGTTTTGGGTAAGCCTGTCTGTTATACGTTCTCCACAGTGGGGTTTCCTGGACTTAACTTAGAAATTGGAGAAAGAGCGTCCTGTTTTTCTGTGATATATACTGCATATTCTCTTGATAGTCTTTCCCTTATGCATGCAACTTCTCTTTTCAGTAATTTGTTTTGATGAATGCAGGTTCATCGTGTGCTTGCCAACATAGTTTCAGCATCAGCTAACGCTACACCAGGGCTTGGGAGATATCCTCCATTCAAGAGAGAGGTACTTATATCCAGTATTAGCAACATAAAACAAACTTCCAATTTAATATCTGCAAGGTTTTTTTGCTTTGCATGCTTCATTTTGACTAATATGTTATATTGTTCAACTAGGTGGTGGCAATTGCTACTGCTGCTCTAGAGGGGTTTAAGAATGAAGCAAAGGATATGGTGACTGCACTTGTGGACATGGAGCGAGTGTTTGTCCCACCACAACATTTCATTCGTTTGGTGCAAAGAAGGTATGATCAGTACATGGATACTTAGTGTTGGTATATGCTGAAATGAGTGACAAAGAAATCATTTAGCGGATACTAATTTAAATGGGCTTAGGCAGCTTTTATTCTATTTATATTGGCAGGGAGGACCTTTTTCGACATGACCCTCTCCAAATTGATTTGTTTTATTCATGTTGGTTATGGTTGCATTACACATTAATGAGTTTATGTATGCTTGGCAGAATTCAATTTCGATCACATGTTCTCTATTTTCCTTTTCCTTACACTATAAGAATCTCTTATACTGTAATTTGGTGAATCCTAAAGCGTTTTAAGCCAACTTAGATATTAAAATATTAAAGGTATCACCCATTGGAATTGCCAGCAAAGCTTGAAACGTGAGTTTGATTCAAAAATACTCTCACTATTGCATCGAGTGAACAAGTCTACTGCATATGCCCATGTTTCCGCAGTATTTCTGGAATCACTTGTTCTTAAGTCTAGGATGCACATCAGAATGCTGGGCCCACTCAACCCTGCCATAGGCCGTTCTTTAAATCTAAATATCTTTTGAGCAGTAAATCCTGTACTGGAATATCAAGAGTACCGTTTGCAAGGAAGTAAACTGTTTCATAGAGCAATCCATGGATGGAATTTGTAAGGTCTTATGGTTTTCACGTGTCTCTATCCCTTGCATTGAGGGTTTGGGGTTAAGGCTATTATGGGCTACTTTCAAGTATAATTTATTTTACCTTGTAACTTTTAGATTTGATGATGTGATAAATATATGAAATCCTTTGGTTTACCATGTTTTTTTTAAGATTCTATTATGGATGTGGACAAATAGATCAATTTTGCTTTCTTTACTTACCAAGGTATCCTCCCTTTTTCTTACCAGGATGGATAGGCAGAGACGAGAGGAAGAGATTAAAACCAAATCTTCTAAGAAGGCTGTTGATGCAGAGCAATCTTTACTGAATAGGGTATTTCCTACTTGGCATAATAAAGAAATTCATATATATAGGCTTGGGAATTTCTGTCTTCTTGTTCTCCTTTGTGAGTTTTTGCCCTCATTTATTGGTTATTTTAATTTGTTGGTGCTTTGTTTAGGCAACTAGTCCTCAAACAGGTGGGAATTTGAAATCAATGAAGGATACCAAGCAAGATAAGGATGTAGACGGACCTACTCTAAAGACTGCAGGACCTGAGGGGGAGATTACAGCAGGTTTACACCTTGACATCTTCCTCAAACTTTACTTGCTTTCACTGTATGGTCCAATGATGATAAGACAGAATTATGTTTCCATTTTTTGTTTTTGATGAGATTTTTTCATACAACACATTGAATTGGGTGATTTTGACCAATTTATCTTCAGTCTTGGAAGATCCACATTTGTCAGCAGATGCACATAATGTCAATGATTTGAAGTTACTTTTGCCATTCTAAGATCAACTGATCAAGTAGCATATGCTAGGTTTATTTGCTTTGCCTTGCTAATCGTTGAATACAAGATCTGTTTATCAATGTATTGGTCTTTTGATCATCTGATGTCATGTTTGTGAAATACATAATATTAGCTGAGGTATAATGTTTTCTAATATGACAATGCATGTCGTATCTTAGATATTTCAGTGGATGTTACCCTTGGAGTTTTATCTACAAATGATTGGATATATTGATATTACTTGATTTTAAGGATGTACGATGTATTAAATTTTGTTCTCTTTGAGCAGGGTTCTTGCTGAAGAAAAGTGCAAAAACCAACGGGTGGAGTAGAAGATGGTTTGTTTTGAATGAGAAAACTGGGAAGGTTAGTAGCATGGCATGAACTTTTATGTACTTCATAGCAGGGTCCATCATTTACCTAATTCCTAAGCTTGGCTTATTTTTTGGTTTGCAAGTGCTAAAACAAAAGACACACGTAAGTGGGTGTTCTAAAGAAATACGGTTGCAAGTGCACAGATTACTGAAAATAGGATTCCCTTGTTTTGTTTTATTGAGTGTTGGACTTGATTTGCTTCACTGTTCTGTTGATGCCTAGAGTAGTAATTCCATTTTTAAAATGGCATGTCATTGGAAACTATAGGGTAGAAATTTAGATGTTAACTTTAGTACAAGTTGATTGCGTCTCATTTATACTAATTGATTGTTCTGTGTCTGTTTGAGATTGTATAGTTCAAGATCTGTCAGTTAACGGCTTGCAACTTATTTTGGGCAATTAGGTGTGTAATTTCAGTTGTTAACCAAAGTGTAATTTGTATTGCTTGTAATGCTAAAGTGATGTAGATCAATATGTATCCTGAATCATGTCTTTGCAGCTGAGGTCTTGCTGGTGGATATCGTTATTTTTTGGACTCTATATAAATTTGCTGGTTGCATGTCATGCTGCTTTTGAAATGCTATCTATTTCGTGCAATCAGATATAATAACTCCTTTTCTGCAGCTTGGATACACTAAGAAACAAGAAGAGAGAAATTTTCGTGGTGTCATCACTTTGGAGGTATGTGAGTTGGTGTTCATATCTTTGCAAACAGATGCTTATCTTCTTTATTCTGTATAGACTCCTAGTTCAACTTACCCAAAGATATTTGAATGCTGAGATCTTGGATCTTCATTATGAACACTAGCACTCATGAACCGCAATCATGCTTCACTATTCTTTGCTTACATTTTAAGGAACTCCTGTGATCTATCGACCAACTGTTTCATATTCACTGCAACTTTTATCAAGCACTATATACCAAACTAGAAAGGATAAGCCAAACATGTTATACAAAGTAAAACACCTCCTAAGGCTTCAAGGTGTGAAGAACATGCTTCAAAAGAACTCCGATTTAAAGCCAATTCTTCTGGTATATTTCCCGATGTAGTGATGTTCAAATCAATCTGGTCTACCCCTACCTCCGCTAACCAATTTCCGTCAGATATTTAATTTTGTAAATGCTAAACGATCCAAGTATCATTGCCTTGGCTTTGTCTTAACCGGTGCATAGGGTGTCGTCATTTCTGATCCTATACATCCTTCTGTGACACCGCATCCATCTCAACAGTACAGAAATTATCCTTGAACTCCAATGTTATCTTTCAATCAAATAAGATAACTGGTGTTTGTCATTTGAATAACATCCTCATTAGTCTGACCTTTTCCAAAACCCTAGTGTTCCAAGGCATTTTTTTATGCCTTACAGTCAATAAACAAGATATTGTTGGTCAAAAGCATAGTCCATGGTATAATCAATGGGGAAACGTGTCTCATGATTATCCCTACTACATCCACCCGACCTCAAGGATTTTCTTCTCCTGAATAAGCCACGTCATAACTCTTCTCGGCCCCTGTCATGTCTTTTTTTATAATCAATGAACTCTTTATGCAAAACCTTTTCCTAGCCCCTTTTATCTATGTCAGTCATTTAATCAAGAATCTAGCCTCTATTGTAATATCAGTTCCATTGCACTAGAGTTTTTTTGGAAGATAGCGATGATTGTCCAGCCATTCTTCCTGCTCCCCTCCCTCCAATTGCTTTTGAATGCCATTTTATTTCTTGATTGTGATGTTGTCAACAAAATAATAGTCAACGGACGTCGAGCTAACTGATTGTCTTCAACTTTTAATTTGTGCTCAAGTTTTTTCAGGGGGAGATTTTGTTTTATGAGTTGCTTTATTGTAACATTTAATGTCCTAAGGTCCATTGGGAAGTACAATAGTGACTAGAGTCGAGAATAAGAAAGATTAGATAACCAAATGGCCTCCCAACCATGAAAAAGAAATTCTGATAAAAGATGCGGGAGAACCGCAGAACCATTGGTTATCAAGTTCTCGTTAAAAGATGAAGTGGAAAGTTGCTAAAAGCTGCAGTGGGTGAAAATTAATGTCAATAGTCACGAAGAAGTATTAGAAATCTAATGCAATTTCATGTTCTGTCTGTTTACCCTTGTGTACATTTGAATCTTGAGTTATTGCAATGGGAATATAATCCCAAACATTTCTTTAGTTTTAAATCAAGGATGTATTATCAGGATTGTGTTGTAGAAGAGATTGAAGAGGATGAACCCCCAGCCAAAAGTTCCAAGGATAAGAAGTCAAAGGTGGAGGAAAAACCACCCAGTCTGCTCCTCAAAATAACGAGCAAGGTTGCATACAAGACTGTATTAAAAGGTAATTGTTAGGTAGCAATACCTGTGTGTTCATGTTTACTGTATAATGATATTTCTTCTAAGATGCATACCAATGCAGACCTAAAGTTTTAAGTGCTTCTACAGCTCATAACGCTGTTCTCTTAAAGGCCGAGAGTGCTGTAGATAAGGCTGAGTGGTTAAACAAATTAAGAGCTGTAATGGGTGCCAAAGGGGGTGAAGTGATTATGAAGGCAGATGGGCCTCCCATTCGGCACACTCATTCAGCTGGTTCTCTTGTAAGTTAGAGTACAGTTTATTCCTACTCATAGTAACACTACGTCATGATATTTGCAATAATTATTATGAAGATACATGTACCTTTTGCTCATTATTCTCCGCCCCGTGGGGATATGTGTGTGTGTATAGGTTAAATTGAGAACCATAAATATTTTGGAGAACATGTGAACCATCTATTCATGTTTTATTCATGATGAATGTCGTGATAGATATTCATGATGAAAATACATGAGATTCATGATAAAAAAGCATGATATCATGAATAATATTCATGATTATTCATCATGAATATTACTTGAAATACTTGTTCCCCATGTTCTCAAAATATTTATGGTTCTTGTTTGAACTTCTCTCTCTCTCTCTGTATATATATCTCACACAATGCACCCAAAATAACAGGTCATGGGTAGCTTTCTAGTATGGTTAAACTGTGTGTCTGTTCTAATCTTAACTGGTTGCTTGCAAATTGTAGGATACAATGGCCAGAAAACCTGCAGATCCAGAGGAAGAGCTTCGTTGGATGGCTCAGGAAGTTCGGGGTTATGTTGAAGCAGTTCTGAACAGCCTTGCAGCCAATGTCCCAAAGGTGTTTATCCTCTCACAATTGCATCCATGTTTACATTCTTTCATATGTTATTATTGTTATTTAGCTTTTCTGTTTGTATGCGTATTTGCTCTCGTTGTGCAGGCAATTGTCCTTTGCCAAGTAGAAAAGGCTAAAGAAGACATGCTGAATAAGCTGTACAGTTCTGTAAGGTTAGCTGCTATATCTGACCTCACCTACTAGAAGATTACTCCCTCTCCCCCAAAATTAGTGTCCACTTTCCAATTCTACCCTTGTTCCCTCTATTATTAAAGGTAAAATTGTCATTTAGTTAATTAAGCTGTAATAATTAGACCTTTCTAAAACAGTAAATTTTTTCATCATTGACATTTATTTTGGGACCGAGGGAGTAGTAGATATTGCAGAATCTACACTGCTCCTTGCCATTACCAAATGTTGATGAAGTATATAAACAAAGATCATCCTAAGTAACCGAGGGTGGGTTTGGTACGCGGATGGGACTGGACGGGTGAGAGTGAAGTAGATGGGTGAAAGAACCGTGGAAGGTTTTAGAGTTTTTATTTGATATAGGTAATTTTGTAATCTTATTTTGGTAATGTCGCTCCAAAGATGGCAACTTTTTGTTTGGTCACGTCCCATATCAAGTCATCAACCCTATGCCCTGAAGACTACATGATAAAACAATGTAGACGAGTCTTGAAGAAATGGATATCATAACATAAACTTGGTGCGAGTTTTTTGTGATTTATCTATTCTGACGCCTTCTCTTTGTCATCGTCTTTTTTGCTTCTTTCTCTTGATTTGTTGGTCAAAAGTTCCCAGAGTACAGCAAGGGTTGAGGAGCTGCTTGAGGAGGATGGTAATGTTAAGCGGAAAAGAGAGAGAGTACAGAAGCAATCCTCCCTGCTCTCCAAGCTCACCAGGCAACTCAGCATTCATGATAATCGAGCGGCTGCAGTCTCCGGCATGACAAACGATAGTCCTGTCGGTAATGTTACCTTCCAGTTCTCAAAATCTTGTTTACGAATGAAAGGAAAGGAAAGAAATAAGAGATCTTGAAAAGATCAGTAAAATTACAAAACTACCCAACCTTTCATTTTAAAGGGTATATTTTGTAGAAATGATATATTTTCTTTCCTTTTATTCAAGAACGTAAAAGATTACTTCCTTTGTTTTTCTTCCCTTCCTGTAACGCAAATAGAAAAAATTCTTTCCCCAAATTCGAGAATATGGTGTAGAAGTTTATTTTTAATGTGACATTTTTTTTATCATATGACATGAACAGAAAGTCCAAGAAGTAGTGGAGGTGACTGGAGATCTGCCTTTGATTCTGCTGCGAATGGCCCCTTGGGCCTCGACTCTCAATTTGGGTCAAATGGCCACAGTCGAAGGTATAGCGACCCTTCCCAAAACGGGGATGATAGCCCAAGCCCCAGATCAAAGTCCACCGGGCGTCGCACTCCAAACAGGTTGCCCCCAGCACCACCTGGTTCTGGTTATAGGTTTTAGATGAAGGTTAAAAAAGATTGGAAGTGATTGATTTATGCATATTCTTGTTGTTGGGATGGGTGTCCTTGATGATATTACTACTACGGTCGGTACGTTGTGTACAACACATTTATTGTAGATAGATATATTCATGTTCCCTTTGTATTTTTCTATCATAAATTTTGCTGGTTTAAACCAAATCTTTTTGGTATCTGTGACTTAAAACTCAATTCTTATTATTTGTGTACAAGAGGGACTGGACTTTCTTGGATGACGACTTAGAATGAAAATATTCTCATTCCTTATCCAATTGCATGTTTATTTACTTGATTATAAATAAATATGAAAAAAATTAATGTATTATAGTTGTCTTGAGATAGTAAAGTAGTAAACATATGAACTTGTTTCATACACCTTCAATATTGTATTCTTGATTTTCTTTCTTTTTATTTTTAGACTTGAGAACCCTACCCTCCAATCCCAAGTATTACCATCAACACCAAATGGTCTTTGGCTTAACGGTATCGTAGTCTTTGGTTTTCTAGAAAGTCAGGGGTTCAAACCTCACTATAGATGAGGATGAGGATGATGTGTTACATTTGTCTTATATAAATATTATATACTTCAAAAAGAAAAGTATTACCATCAACAGAGCGAGTGATGAAATGCTAAAAAAAGACATCCACATAAAAACGTCTACAATTCTTTTACCTCTTGAGAGAAAATCAATGTTCACATCAATCTAAACTTATCTAGTCTAGTAGAAAAACATAGCCAAAAAGGCATCACTAAACAAAAAAGCAACTATCCATTAACCGGTCCATGGCCAAATTTCCTTAACGCCTGGGAACCCAACTGTGTCTAACCAGTCCTTTTTTGTAACCCATTTATCTCACCTCTAATTGAAGGTGATAATATCTATCTATCTATCTACAGATAAGTAAAGTGTTGTATCGAATCGTATCGTAAGGGTCACCTCTTAGTTGCTTCTCTATCTTTGACCTTCAACCTCATTTAGGGTTCTTTGGATCACTTCATCTTTCTTGGTCCTGCTCTTGCATTTACAGCTGAAATTCAGCCAGTTTCATAAGCCTTAACCCACACCCAGCTCTTACTCCTGTTTTTCTTCATCAATCACTTTGCCACAAACATTTCTTCACATACCCTTCAGCTCTGGGCTTCTTTCTTCATTCACCAACAACAAGCATTAGAAGTTTCATTCTATGTAAGCAGCTAACTAAAGATTACAGTTTGCATAAATCATGTTGATGACTAAATATGTAACCATTTTTTTACTATCTAACAACACTAAATTGGAAACAAAAGCTTCCTTCACCATCAATTACAATAGCTAGCAACTTACCTGCTTTCGAGCAGCATCACATCGATGATCAAATAATAGAAGGCTTTCCATATAATTAACATCAACTGCAGACCGACTGAAAGAGATTCCAAGATCATGAACTTCAGATCTGTGGCTTTCGAGATCGAACGAAACAAGCTTCTTCTCCAAATTAGTGTATAGAAACTTCCTACTCCTTGTAAACCCTATCGTCCACCACACACCCCTGACACACTGAATCGTATATGCTTTCGTCCAACCTCTGTTATATTCATCCATCTTCCATAACACCAAGATGTCATTCTGTCCACCAAAGAACTTTGAATACACAGCATATAATGAACCAGATGATCCCCTTACTGCCAAAAGAGAAAATGGGAAATCTACAGAAGGCTGTTCTATCTCTCTGAATTTCTCATCCTCAAGATCAAATGACATGATATAATTCTCCATTGGATCATCTCGAATGCTCTTGAAACCCATCCAGTAAAAAACTCCTTTGTCAAACGTCACTACACTCTGCGTTACTACGGGTGGAACCTCGGTGCGAATTATCCTCCATGAATCTGTCCTCAAGCTGTAAACCTCAACCAAAGGTGGAACATCCACAGACGTGAAATTACGGCCCTCTGGAAAGTAAATGAGTCTGATAACCTTGTAATCATTCGACAATTCATGAAACCCGAATCCCAGACGAGAAACTATCCAACGATCATCAGTGAACTCATCGGAAAATTGCGAAGGCGGAAGCTTCTTTCGGATTCTGATCGATGGATTCCAAATATACACATCATTCCCCCAATTATACTCCAGTCCAGGTGCTAAACACAGCAACCCATTACAGGAACCGACAAAGTTTAACGATGACTTACGATGAGGTCTAACAGCAAAAGGGGTTTCAATAGCGTGCATCAATTTAAAAGTTCTATCACAAACTACATGGCAGAAATTAGAGCCGCCAAACAGAAGATAGCCATCATCATGATACTCTTGGCGATAATTATCATTCGAATTGAAATGTGAAGCAACGAAATTGGCGTTTCTGATAATCGCGTACCATGATTTGCAAACGGAGGTGCATCGAATTAGGGTTTTGACTGGTAGCCTCAAGAATATGTCGATTACGAGCTCCGTTGGTAAGTAATAGCTAGAATCAACCATCTGCTCCGCCATAACAATTGATTTGATTATGAGTTTTCAATTGGTTTTGGTTTTGAATTGATTTCTTGAATTGAATCTCTAGAAACTAGCAGAACACACAGCACCATTTACAGTGTTACACATCGGCTCTTTTCTGCCTGAGACAAACATTTACAAATTTGGTCCCTGTAGTTTGATATTTTTCCTAGTTTTGACGCAAAAATAAAAGAAGCGTTATTTAGTGGTGTTTTATCTAATAATTTTAAGAAAAATTAATTAAAAGCCATTTTTAGCTGTTGGTTCATCTTTTAGCCATATTCTTTCCAGAATTATAAAAATAATTGTAGCTCCCCAAAATCTTAGGTTCGCAATTGTGGACCTAGCTAAATGACAAAAATAATATACACTTTTGGCCATTGTCTGTAATATCCTAGGTTCGCAATTGCAAACCTGGCCCTTGAACGTTGAAAATTTATAATTTCTACTCAGGCGGACCTGCCGTATTGTGGACTTACCACTTGTCGAGCTGGGAGAAACCTGGCCCCTGAAGTTTGAAAATTTACAATTTCTATTCAGGTTTGCAATTACGAACTTGCCGCATTGTGGCCCTACCACGTATTGAGCTCGGGTAAAATCCTAGTATGGTTTTCTTAAAAATGTGTGATTTTATGAAAATCTTTGACTCCCACTCCCATACGCAATTACGAAGCCGTCTTTCTCTCTTTCTCTATATATAATATACATTGCGGGGTCCAAAATCTTTCAATAATTTCTCTCCGCAAAAAAAGGCACATGCACGTGACTCTTCCTGCAAACCGACTTTCCACGTCAGTAACTTCACGCACCTTGTCAATAGCTCGTGAAGTAAGTTTTTTGTAACCCTTTGTCAACATAAAACATTTATGTAGTTTTTCTTGTTGTTTGATTTTGTAGTTTGTAGTTGTATACATTTTCTTGTTTTACCGTATGATTTTGTAGTTTGAATGCAGGTGTTAGTGATTTCTTTATGAGACGAGATTGAATGAAAAAAAGTCGATTTTTTTCGAGCCGGACCAAGAACAGGTCCGTTAGGTCTGATCTGAAAACTTTTTTTCAGACTTTTTTTCTTCATATTTTGATAAACGTGTATCAGTTAATTTATCATTTAAACCTATAACCCATTATTTAATCCCTGTTTTATACAATGTTTTTATAGTTCATATTTACATATAGGATGCTATACTTTTTATATTTATACATTTGGTCCCTGTACTTAGATTAGTTACAGATTAAGTCCTTGCACCTAGAGTATTTACAAATTATGTCCCTATACATAGAATAGTTACAAATTTGGTCCTTGTATTTACCATATATACCGATTAGGTCTTTGCACTTATAATACTTACATATTAGGTCCTTGTACTTGTCATAATTACAAATTAGGTCCTTGTATTTACACTAGTTATAAATTTGGTCCTTGTATTTACCATAATTACAAATTAGGTCCCTATACTTTGAATAGTTAAAGATTTGGTCCCTATAATTATATTAGTTAGACATTTGGACCCTCTATTTACCATAATTACATATTAGGTTCATGTACTTACCATAATTATAGATTAGGTGCATGTATGTACAATAATTATAAATTTGGTCCCTGTACTTAGATTAGTTACATATGAGGTCCTTGTACTTATATTAGTTATATATCAGGTCTCCATAATTAGAGTACTTATGTACTAATTGATTTGGTTGCTATAGTCGTAACAACTGACGAGGATGTTGTTCAAGTTTGTTCCTTGTTGATGGTGGAGTTGGTTTTCCCAAGCCATCAATCAGAACATTTTGTTACTGACATGTTGATCAGGGTCGTCGAGGATTTCCAAGTATGGAACCAGTTTCCATGGGGATCCTTCATATGGGCACCCATTTTTAAGCAAATGGATGGTGCCATCAAGAAACGCGTGGACAAGAAAAGGAAGATGATGATGATGATGATGATGGGTTTCTTATACACCCCAAGGTTAAATAACTACTATAAATTTAATATTTATTCATTTGAATTTGGTTTCCATTTTTAACTCCATATACTTGTTTGTGTTTTGTGTATTTGTAGATATGGATCCACGTCCACAATTTTGACCACTTTGATCTTTGGAATTGCGTACGTGCCTCCATTTTTTCCTATTAAAATGGAAAAGATTGACCGATTTGTTACTTGCTATCCTTCCCTCTCTATAAGGTTGAAAGATTTGTTATTTGCTATCTGTCCCTATCTTCTCTCTAACAGTGAACGAAAGATCTTCCAGTTCTGGCTTTCAAATTCCAACAACGGACGATGAGTGGTGGTTAACTATCGATGATGGTTTCATCCCTCCAAAAATGGACGAGGAGTGGGAAATCTCGGGAGCTGCATGGGATAAAAGATTTTTGGGGCCAATGAAAATGCCCGATTATGTACTAGGGAAAATCAAGGACTATGAACTCAAAATCCATATATTAGTTCAAGAACATGCGAAGCTTGGTGCGAAAAAAAAAGATTGAACAAGAGGTGGACAAGAGGAGAGATGAATTGCTGATATAAACAATAAATTAAGCATAAACAAAAGTGAATTGCTTAAACAAATTAAAGAGAAAGAAAAATGCAATCATGATGCATGATTCGAACTCGCAACCGAGGAGACTCATAGGCATATCAGGGACAATGAAGAGGCCATTAAAAAATACACCAGATGAATAAAAGGATAAAAAGAACTATATCCGCATGAATTCTCATAGTTGTATTTGGATTAAATGTTGCTTTCAATCTTTATTTTCAATATAGTTATTTCCATGAACTTGTGTAGTTTATCATTTTCAGTCTTTAATGAAATAAAATTCAATTTGTATGAAAAGTGTGTGAAGGACTTTGCTGTATAGTACTCCATCATACATGGAATTATAAATGATCTGTATCCAATGTGCTGTATGTATAGGATTTATGCCTAAAACCCTAAATCATTAACCCTTAACCATAAACCCATAAATCCTAAAACCATAAACCCATAAATCCTAAAACCATAAACCCTAATTACAGACGTGCCTCTGTGTTTGACCAGTTTTACCTCCACAAGACTTGCCTCCGTGTTTGCCTATAAATAGGATGCCTTATGAACTCAAAAATCACAACTTTCATACCAATCATATTCACTCTTCTACGATCACTTGTCTACTTCTTACAAAAAAATGGATGGAAACTTGCCATCATCATCAAACCCTCCATCTTCTCAAATCATGCTTACCAGGATGAAGAAATCAATGGAAAAGGGTGAAGCTGAGATAGATGAGATAAATGATCGATGGTAGAGTAATAAGGAGAAGCATAGTAAAATCACAGATGAGATTGAAGAGAAGAAAAATACTATAACGCAGCTGCAATGAGCAATGTCTATTATAAGGACACGGTGCAAGTTTCTCATAAACGTCTAGATCTATAAAATATTAGGTGGTTTACGTATGTAAAGGTTATAGTTTATAATATGTAAACATATGACATAATTATACGTACAACGCAACCAAGGGCATCGAAATACATCTCAAAACGTCCTCTCAAATATGTCCTTATTCTGGTGATGATACCTGAATTATGATATTCCATATTTTATAACAACGTAGGGAGTCGGGTGAACGACTCCTCAGGCTGTCGTGCATCACATATAACACACCAACCTTGGTGGTATCCAATAGTAATATCATACTGCTGGTTTATACCATGCACAATGTCATTAGGCCGAAGTGTCCTGCTAGCATCAACAAATTTACCTTTGAGTATATGACCAAATACCTTTTTGTTTGGGTGATGGTGATTGGGATTCAATTGGGTCCTCGTACAAGTATATACGTCCATAAACTTTCGTATATGAAACATATTGTCTTTTACTCCAGAGCTCGCCGTCATACGCCGACCACAATCCCTCGAAGGCATACAACCTCGAATCTGGTTTTTGAAGATCTCGTTGTTCTATACTCGAAACCCTCTTCAATAAACTTAATTTTGAGCTGTATGATCAATTTTTCTTTCGTATCAAATAACTGACCAACAACTATTCTGCCACTACGAAATAAGATAAGACCTCGTTGGTCGTGATAAAGGGCTTTGGGTTTGAAGGAGGGGATGCATATAAAAAAATAATTTATCCTACCAAATGATTTATTTGAAGGAGTTATTGTTTCTACACCTTCTTCGTCTTTACCTTCATCCGTTTATGATAAATCAATATTCGATATATTCAATCTGAAAACATGGGCTTCGTCATCATCAACTCCAGCAAAACGTCTTTCTTCATCATCATCACCATCATCATATTCTTCTTCCTCGTGTGTCTCCAGAACAAACTTGGGGTAATAGTCAGTAAAACCATATGTATGCTCTCGAAGAAAGGCAGTGTCCTAGGAATGTTGGATTTGAGACTCAGACTTGAGTTGAAGAACATACATTCCTTGAGTTTGGGTTTCATCTTAGGTTTGACGGTTTTCATTGTTCACACTACCATCAACATCACCTCCAATGCACATCAAAAAATCGACATACATATAAAGTGTAGGCAGTTTTGACTAAGCTACGAATTCCATGAAACCACCAACATCTTCATCATCAGCTAACTCAAAGATTGAAGCATCATACTTGTATACCATCCTGATTACACCAATAGAACTTTCGATTCCACATTTCCTCTGAAAATAAGCAACCAAGATTTGATGCGTAATGTTTGCACGCAATTGTACAACATGGTGCATTGTATCACCAGAACAAACATAATCTCACCCATCGTTTTCTTGCACTCATTGACCACCCGAACAAATATGTAACTTAATTTTTTGACAGCGTAACTCATTTTTAAATGAATTTAAGAAAAAAAATGATGAATAAAGAAAGAAAGAAATTAAGCAATTCATCCAACAAACCATCAATTGGTTATTGGAAAATAGTACAAGTATATATTGAACAACTTTCAATCAATTTTCATGCTTTGTTGAAAAAAAATAGTGTTGGTCCACAATTAAACATGTATAAAACAAGTGAAAAATGACATTTTTTTGAAAAATTGCAGAGGTCAAAGGTCAAAATT